CTTATCTTCCGTTAATAGAGTTCACTTATAATAACAGTTACCATTCTAGTATTGGAATATCACCTTTTGAAGCGTTGTATGGTCTAAGATGTAGAACTCCTTTATATTGGCATGAATCTGGGGAAAGCGCAGTACTTAGAACTGAACTTGTTCGAGAAACTACCAAGAAGGTGAAGTTAATTCGAGAAAATATGAAAGCTTCCCAAAGTAGACAGAAGAGTTATCATGACAAGCGAAGGAAAGATTTAGAATTCCAAGCAGGTGACCATGTGTTTTTGAGAGTTACACATGTGACTAATGTTGGGCGAGTGTTGAAGCCTAAGAAGCTCACTTCTCGTTTCATTGGTCCGTATCAAATTTAGGAAAGAGTTGAGAATGTTGCTTATAGAGTGGCTTTACCGCCTAATCTCTCAAACTTGTATGATGTGTTCCATGTGTCACAACTTCGGAAGTATATTTCAGATCCATCTCATGTGATTCATGTGGATGATGTTCAAGTACGGGATAATCTTATTGTAGAGACGATGCATGTATGAATTGCGGATCGTGAAATGAAGACTCTAAGAGGCAAAGATATTACTTTGGTGAAAATAGTCTGGTTAGGGGTTGTCGGAGAAAGCATGACGTGGGAATTGGAGAGCAAGATGCGGGACTCCTATCCTGAGTTGTTCGAATCAGGTAAATTTTCGAGGAAGAAAATATTCTAAGTGAGGGAGAGTTGTAACGCCCGATATTTAATTAATTATTTAATTAAATTTTTTGAATTATTTTTCCGATTAAATTTTCGAAGTTGTGAAATATTGATTTAAGTTGTGTCGTTTTTATTTGAATTAATTAATTTGATTAAGTTGTAGAATAATATTAGAATAATATTATTATTTGATATGTGCTTATTTTAATGTTAGAAGTAGTAGAAAGGGGGTGTAGAAATTTAAGCCCAATAAGACAAAATAAGAATAATAGTATAATAATTATATTATATTAGAATAATAATAATATTATATTAGTTATTTTAGAATAATAAGGAGTAGAAGTAGCGGTAAGAGGAGAAAAAATAGGTTTTGGCAAAAAAAGAGAAATAAAGATTAAGAGAAGAGATACGTGGAAACTGCAAAAAGAGATAAATCTAGGAGTCAATCGGAGAGTTGGAACAACATTCAATTTAAGATAAAGGTGCGATTCTGACTCTATAATAAGGTACGTGGTGACTAAAAAATATGAGATTAAATTATAAAATTGTTTATGTTTGTGTTTGAAATTGATATATTTGTGAAATTGAGAAATAATTGAAAATCTAATTTAATATATATTAGTACTGTAACAAACATATTTTGAAAGAAATCAAATTGACATCTATTTTGCATAGTTACTGTAACGTGTTCTTTATTTATATATATATATATATATATATATATATATATATATATATATATATATATATATATATATATATATATATATATATATATATATATATATATATATATATATATATATATATATATTGATATATATATTGCTACATAGAGTGGTTGGTGGTTTGTTATGATTACTATAGGCATACTGATATATATAGAACCACTAAAACAACAAGGGGAATTTACTGTAGCGGCACCTCAATTTCTAACACATATATTTTATTATATATTAATAAATAATAATATCAATATCAATAACAATATAATATAATATTATTAGTATATAATTTTTAGAAGTTTTTAATTAGTTTCAATTGAGTTGTCAATAGGATTATTAGAGTTGTCAATAGTGTTGTTAAAATTATCAATAGAGTTTTTTTAAGTTATTAAAAGTCATTTTTTATTTGTTTTTGTGTAATTCTGACATGCTTAGAACATCCACATCCATCATACCCATTTGAGTTCTTTAAATGGGATCTACATAATTTTTTATATTATTTCACACTTCTCAAGTTTTTAAACAACTCATCTACAATTCTCAAATATCCATGTAACTCATCAAAAAATCTAAAATGGATCCCACATTTAAAACAAATCAACTACATTCTTGCAATTTTATTTATTAATTTATTATCATGACCCACTTAATTGGAGTGTAGAAACGTGCTTTAGTATGATGACGTGCTTTAGTTCAGGAACGTGAAAACAAGTGAAATATCCATTTATTATTGACACAATTTCTTTAATAAATGTGTAGGAACTCTCAAAAAACACCGATAATCACGCTCTTAGAGTTGTCATTAGTATAAGTTGGAGCTTCCAAATATGAATACATCTTTACTAAATTATTGATATTTCAGTTATGAATTTTAGTTAAATTTAGTAGCAAGAAATTAAGAATTTGTGTAATTACATAGTAGACTCAATCAATTATTTAGTCTAACATACTTAGTGAATATTTGGTAGTAGCTCCAATAGCACATTCAGTATATTTGCACTAAATGGCAGGATTAATAGTTAGTAGTATAAAATAGCATGTTTGACAATTAACAAAAGTAACAATTAGATTGAAACTAATATATATGTAATAGGACAATATTAATTGACAGATAGTATACATGTAGCAGAAGGTCATATAGCAGATTAATAACTTTTTTGACAGAACCAACATCAGCAGTATAGACTATTCAATAGCATTGTAGTATTAATTTAACTGAGTCGTAATAAGAAATTTAGTATAAAGTAGAAATAATAGAACTTTTTGTCGATAATTAATTAACCAGTTTTAGTCGAAGTATTCCGAATAATTATTCAGTTTATTTGTAGTAATTTATTTTATTGATTCGTTGGATGGTGGTTTTGTTAAAATATGTGAAATTACAGGTGATGTTGTATCTTATTGGATTGCCTCAATTTTGGGCGAATCATAAGTTGTAGGCCTATGACCAATGCTGATTTGTTGTTGTGTTGCCATGTAACTATTAATGTCGTTATTCTGACATTCATATTGTGTCGCATACATAGCATATTAAGTTGGAGCTGATGCTCGGTATGTTGGCATGGATTGGCAAATTAAGTTGAAGGCTTATGCCTTGTTAACTCCTCTATTAATTGGCACATTTTTAAGTTGGGAGTTCTGCTCCAATGGTACCACATGCATGTGTATTGTGACGAGTCACATTCCGTGTTGCATATTTAAGTTGTTGTGTTATTGACTTGTGATGATTGATGTAGGTTGAAAGTTATGAATGGTGATTTTATATAATCCGATCTAATATATTGTTTATCATACACTCAATTATATGGCTCGATATCTCACCCCTTTTGTTTGAATATTGTCCTTTGTTGATAACGTGCAGGTAATCAAGAAGGATATATGTTACCTTCGTTATTCCGAGTCGGTGTTATCGCTTTGATACGTAGCACTCGGGAGGATGAACACATGTTTTCTTTATTGTTGATTTTCATTATGTTGATGAATTTTTAAGTTGTTTTCATTAAAGACTTGTTGTCTTAAAGTCATTTTGAGTTGGACAAGATGTTATGATGTTTTCAGTTGAAATTGTGAATCCGTTGCATAGCAACACAAATTGTTTTATTTTTAAACACTAAACAGATTGTTATCGGTTCATCCGAATTTTATGTGTTATGTATCTGAACAATAGGTGATTGAATGTCGTTGTTTCTAAGTTGAAAGTGTAGCATTCCATTTGTTTGTTCGAAATTTTGTAACTCTAATTTTATATAATTTGTTAGATAGAAATGGTGTGTTACACATACAAGCATAAACACAAATGGAAGCACACAATAGCAATGAAAACAAACAAAAATCAGATGGAAACATGTTGTTGGAAAATACAAGCATCAACACGTAAGTGTACAAAATTATATAGGTCACAAGCCCTTACAAACAACAAAAAGAAACACAACTTCTCAAGCACTAGTGTTGCTAGCTATTTCTTAATCTTCATTGTTTTCTTCATCTTTATCATCCCTTCCACCTTAAGTTTTTTCTTTCTTTCCATCTTCATTATTATCAGTCACACCTTTTTCTTCCTCCAAGGATCTTATTAGCTTCTCCAGTCTGATTTTCCTCTGAGTGCAAGTCTTGATGGTTTCACTCAATTCCTTGCAAGTATCTCTAAGATCAACGATGATTCTAGCTTTTGAAGATAGGTTGGCAGCCTCCTTGCCAGATGTTATGACAATGTGTGGAACACGTTTCCTTGTGAATAGCTTGTAATTCAAGGACAGAGGAGATTCCCTCTTGCTAACTCTATCAGAGTTGTTCAGGATACCAAGATGCTGACTTAGAATAACGCCACAGATGATAGTAGGAAATGCAATAGGAATTTTCACAGCGTATGTATGAGCATGCTTGGTTTGTTAAAAGATATAGGTTGCAAAATCAAATTTGGTTTTAGTCCCAACTAAATAAATGAACTTGCTTAGTCCTATAGCTATTGAGGAAGTATGATTTATAGGGACCCAATTGACAGCTCCAATCTTATTAAGGACAACATACTTTACACTAAGATTACTTACAAAAAGCTTTCCTTTTCTTGTCCATTGAGACACTTATTTTGAAGTGATCCCTTTACAAATAGTGTTATCAATTACCTACATTACAACCTGTAAAAGTTTAATATTATAGTCAAATTTCAAAAATATTTTTAGGGGACAAGAGTAGGCCAACATTCTTCTGAACCTAGATAACCCTTTAGTACCATCTTTCTAACTTTCATCTTTTAGTTTCTGAAAATACTATCACAATATACTACTTAAGCATTAAAATATTATATTAATCGCAAATTTAGAATATCATATTTCAGCCCCCCATATTAATCGCAAATTTAGATAAGTTTTTTTTGATGTTGTTCATTCATTTGACCTTTTAAGCCAACCCTTATAAACGATTTTTGCTTTTTTATTTAAGTTATTCATTCTTTATTTATGATAACATAGTTTGTTCCTCTTTGGCATCATCATTACTTGTGAAGCACGTAGAATCGCATCCTCCCCTTTTGAAGGTGACAAAGAATCTCTTACGGAGGTGGCTTATAAGGAAGATTAAGAAGAAAAATGGAGTTGTACACTGGAGGTTTTAAGGCCCGGTCACCCTGCGAAATTTCCCAGGCTCTGGTCCAAATATTTTTTGGAATCTGAAGTAAAAAATGGAAAAACCATAGGCACACCGTCAAAACACCTTCTCTTCTAGTCACAGCGCTGCTCCGCCATCGGTGAGTTTTTCAGCTTTTTAAGTTTAGTTTTCCTCTATTTGAACAAGAAATTGCACCTACCATCTTTGTTTAACTTATTTTTCTGTGAAACCTATGAAATCTGAGCCACATGGTTGTGAAATTTGATTAGAATGGTATGCACACAAAGTGTTTGATCATTTGACTGTGTGTATATGTGTTTTTTCACGTTTAAGGATATGGAAAAACTTTAGAAGATTCAGGAATTTTTGAGAAGCTACGTCGCGATTCGGCTTTAAAGCACGGCTCGTTTGATTCGGCTATGAGCTTCATTTTACTCCTTATGGAGTTTGCACTATCGGGTTTAAAAAAAGCCTTTGGTGTTGTTGCTATAATGAAATTCTTTACCTTGCAAATGCCAAAATCATTTAAATGAAGCTCTGTGTAGTTCAATTTTGATCCGGTTGTATATGGTTTAGAATCCTTTTTGTCTTTGAATACTTTATGTGTCTTCTAGGTAGGAAAAACTTAGTTTAGAGATTAAATTTGGTTAGATTTTGCAGTAGTTTTTGGTGGTTGTGTTAGTTCTTTATTTCGTAAATTCAAAACTCGGCAGATTTAGTTTTCTAGGTCATCCAAATTTTAGTTATCAATTGTAATCTTGTGAGACCTTATCCTATTTACGGCGATATTGACCTAATCACGCGTATGTAAATTAATGATAATAATAATATTTTGTAATTGATATTGCAGATAATGCAACATGTTTATGATGATATGGTTTTTCTACACCACAATTATGTGTCCTTTTGAATTTGGGTTTCTTTTGAGTTCAAAGGGTCGACTAGAAATAGTAGACAATGTTGTGAATGGATTTTCATTCTATCTTCATCCACATCACTGAAGTTGTTTCGAAATTGTTGATTGATTGAGAAGATTACTTAAAAATGAGTTGAAAAAGGTTCTTTCTATTACTTTAAGTATAATATGTAATCTTCATCATTATTTCTCTTTCAACTTTATTTCTCTTGCATGCAAAACAATATAATGAAAATGTATTTCAGATGGAAAAACTCCTTTAATTTTCTTCATTTTCCATGTTTTATTTTTTTACCTTGTGGTTCTTCAGCCTTTTTTGCTTTGATTTATCTTATTTTATGACCATTCTTTATTACAAAATTGGACCTATATACTTTGATAATTTGTACTAAGAAACTAGATTTGTGTTTTTCCTGAAAATTAAATGTTCCAGCTGATCCTTAACAATTGTATTTTTCTGATACTTCTTCTAGTTGAAGTCGAGCGTAGACTTAGTCTAATTTCTATCAACAGTTACTTTGGGTGGCATCTATAAGCCCATCCCCGACGACTCACTGTTACCTTTCCAAATGACATCTTTAATTCCATTCCCAGTATAATCAACCAATAACATTACTTCGTGCACCGACGAGTGCAAATTTATGGGTACTTAGGTGTTCAATCATCTTCCACCTTCAAGTCACGAATGGCAGACATGCCAATCTAACTCCTCAGGTTTTAGAAAATTGAACAGGAGCAGCTGTTGTACCCCAAAATTTTCCCTCTCATTTTCTTTAAAACATACTCACAAAAGGTCTTAAATATTCAGAGCCACTCAAGAGTTGACAGATCAAATCTCCTCCTAAGCATGGGTCTTCAACTAGGGTTTTGTGCTTCTCAAGGAAGATTGGGTTGCAAGGGTCTCAAATGACTTCCATGATTCATCATAGGTCCTCAATAATGCTTATGTCAAGTTTTAAATCAGACATCACATGTTTGCTCAGTCAATAACTCAGATGATTGAAAATCAACTATGTTGAGTAAAAAGTCAACTGAGGTCAACATACAATTAAACTTCAAATTTTTTTGTCAACATCAATATTTTGAAGTGATATTCATCATTTGATCAAGGATTGATCATGATTCCTCAAGGAAAGCCCTCACATCATCAGAGGTCAAAAATTGCTCAAATTAGGGTTTTAATAGAAGATGACTGATCATTAACTTTTGACCTAGTGCATATGACCTAATGGCTTAAAGCATGATCTCAAGTATTCAAATACAACATCTTGACCTAATTACATGGCTCAAGACATTTTCAAAAATACAAGTAATTGATATTTGAAGAATTGAACCAATTGATTAAAAGTCAACAGTCACACAAAAATCAAACTTTGACTTTTTGGTCAACATTGGAATTCAAAAAATCAAGAATCATCAAAACATCCAAAACTATCAAACTTTGTCATCAAGAATAAAAAAGTCAACAAAAGTCAAAAGTCAAGATTTTCAAACACTTAGAAAAAATTCAAGTGTTTTCTACCTAAAAAACTCTAACTTCATAAGTAAGTTTCCTCAAGATACAAGCTAATTCAAGGAAAACTTTCAACATGAAAGTTGTAGGGATTGATGAAAAACTTTGTTAATGTGGGATGATCCTCAAAAAGTGCTTGGATTAAGAGATATCAGCCCATGAAGTTATGATATTTTTATCTAACACTTAGAAAAAATTTCAACAAGTTTTGGTCCGTTTTTTATCTCAACTTCTTGGCAAATTTTCACCAAGTTCCCAATTTATTCAACACAAATGGTCAACATGAAAGTTGAAGATCTTGATTCAATATTTCCAAAATGTCCAAGAGCATAAAAAGATCATACTTGATCTAGGAGATTCAAAGACATGAAGTTGGGCATCCATTCTTGAAATATAAGTCATTTTTGTGATGAACTAATAACAAAATCTTCATGACATGCCATGTAATCCCACTTTTCAGGCCTCTAAACCTCCAAATATATCTCTAATCAGAAGATTGCACAAGCTTTTGAGATATGGTCCATTTGATTCAAAAGCATTATCCAATCGATTTGGCCATTTAAGGAAAAAAGGTCACACTTCCATTCTTGTAAAGTGACTTTAATCATAAAGTCCACTCTCTTTGAGCCTCTAACTTGTTTCCTATGAACACACTCAATCCTAACATCAAAAGCAACTCCTATAGAAGATATCAACCACCCTAGAGGAGTTGTACCATGCCTTAGAACCATGACTTTGCAAGAAACTTCAAAGTTCCATCTCAACCAAGCCATAACTTGTTATATCAAGATGTTGATTACTTCAAACTCTCAAACATTTTGCCTATAAATAAAGAGGTCATTATCAAGCCAATGCACGAATTGACAGCTCCAAAACACCCCTCAATCTCTCTCAAATCGGAATTGGCCAAAACCTCTATTTTGAGCTTTTGAAACCTTAACTTAGAAACTTATCACTCTTGCAACATCTGTGCAAACCAACCATTTATACACCTCACATACATCATATATAACTCCTCTAAACACCTTTTTCATCACTGTAACATCATCTTTATCATCCACCATTTTCACTTTTCATACTTGCAAGTTGACTTGGTCAGAGGTATCCAGAGGTTCTCAGCACCAAGTGAGTATCCAAACAGTTTCCTCAGGGTCCAAGCAAGCTCACTAAATCATCATTTCATCTCTGGAAGTTGTGTAAAAGGCATTGGATTTTTCATCAAGAGGTAAGTTTTCTCAAACTGTGATATCTTGATACAAATATCATTTACATTTACTTTCTAAAGAGAAAATGTAGATATCATGCCTCTAAAGCTAACTATATAATTAGTTTTCATTAATTTTACTTGTGGAGTAAGAATCAAAGCTCTGACCAGTTAGGGTTCATTTTTGGTACTGAGTAAAATTCTTTTTATTCTTTGAGTTTTAGTTAAAATAAGTGGCATGGTTAAATTCGTGTTCAAATTTCAAGCAAGTTTGGTGTTCATATTTTTTAAATGGTTGAGAAATAAGAGTTTTACAGATTCAAAAATGGTGTTGTTGTTGGTCTGTTCGCGCGCAGGGTAGAAAAAGATAACAAATTTCAAAACTTAGTTTATAATATATTTACTGGGGGCGTTTCATAACCGAATGAAACAGTCACCCTAGTGGTAAACTATGCACGCTTGTTACTATAGGGACCTGGGTTCGAGTCCCAGCGGTACCCTTTTATTTTTCACATATTTGTTCCTTGCAGATCCAGCGCAGACAAGCCTAGTGCGCGCATGGTGCACCTCTGTATAACAACCATCAGATCTCATAACTCCATATCTAGTGCTTCAGAAAGCCACGCCCATGGTGCATCCCAAAAAACTGTCCCCACTAGATCTCACAGGCAATCTGGGCTCCCTGACTTGGGCCTTTTTATTTTTGCTTTTCCATACCCCCATTTTGCTTACAACACAGGCTCATTAATTTTCTTTTCTTTTGTTTGTTTTAATTTAATTCTTTTCTTTTTTTAATTTCATTTTTTATTTAATCAATAAAATCATAAAAAATTTAAATTTAGGTTTTTATTAATTAATTTAATTTTTGATAATTAAAATTAATTCAATTTAATCACCTTGTTTTATTTTAAATGATTAGTTTGTAAAATAATTAGAATTAGATTTTATTATTTTACACTATAAAATATTTTTAAATAAAACATCAAAAATATTTTCTAATACTTAAAATTTTTTTTAGGGTTTTAAACATCTCTCCCTTTTCACCATCTTCGCGCGCTTTACTTTCGCATTAATATTTTCCAATATTGTAACTGCTAATGGTATGTAATAGCTTAAATTAGGATTTTTACTTTTCATCCCCATTCATAAATTTGTATCCCCATTCCCGAAGCGTTGTAATAGCATAGGACATTTAATTTCCACAATTTACTGCTTTCCTTATTACTATTATTAATTAGGGTTTGTATGGCAAGATTAAAATCAACCATTAGAAAACCTAATCTCAAGACAAATACCTGAAATCAAAACACTTTGCACACGCGCACCTCTAGGGTAATCCTCACTTGTTGCCTCAGATGAAAAACATTCATGTCCCTCGAACGTGGGATGCTTTAGCAAAGACCCTCGTTTAAAAGATCGTAGTCCCTCGATGACCCTTCGATGTTGCCTTCGGTAAACGATCTTAGTCCCTTACGATAATTGTTAAAGCATCCTACAAGTTGTCTTCTATGACTGTACGACGACTCGCGTCTGTCCCTCATATTCAATGATA